TGTATAAGAAAGAAAAGGAGTAGAAGAAAGATTCTATTTAGAAGCAGATAATAGGAAAAAGTACAGAAAGAAAGAAAATAATAATAACTAAAGAGAAGCTAAAAGAAATAGAAAGCTAAGAGCAAATAGGCAGACGTATTATTAAGATAGCAATATATCAATAGAATATATAGCATAGTTAGTTCAAGATTTAGAAGAAAAGCTTAGGGAGCTAGAGGTAAAGGCTTCAAATCACTCCTAACTTTCGTGCTAGTTAAACTAAAGGAAACCTATCTTATGTAAGAAGGAAAACTTATTCAATATAATATGAGATTACAAAAGGGAAACTACAAAAGAGTAGGTACAGGAGCAATAGAAGGCAATATTAAAGCAACAGAAGTTAGGAAAAGAATTAATATAGCTGTGCATAATATTAATGGATTAAAAGAAAATAGATATAAATTAGAAATGTTAGTAAACAAATTTGAAGAGGAAAGGTATGATATAATAGGTATAGTTAAAACAAATATTTCTGAGAAAGAAGGACAATATATAATTAGCTACAGAGAGAAAGTAGATAGTTTTTGGACAAACTTAGAAAAAAGAAAAAACAAAGGTTCAGGAGTAGGTATATTAGTAAGCAAGAATTAGTCTAAATATATCAGACAAATCAGAAAATATAGTGGATATTTGCTAGAAGTGTACTTTTTCTTCAAGCAATTAGAACTAGTAGTCTTTATAGTATACATAGTACTGAATAGTTAACTAAGAAGGAAAGAAGTACAAAGAGTAATAATGAGAGAAGTCACCAAAAAAAAACCAAACATACACTTCTGATTTTTTATAATTCAACTAAACTTGAACTCGCGATACAATGTTACCTATAGCTAGATTCTGTTAAGTCCTACCTATACTATAAATAATCACTCTCATCTATTAGTAATTTAATTGGTTTAGAATTTTTAAAAAAATCAGTGAATTTTATTGGTCTAGAAAAAAGACTAGTCTAGAACTCTCAACTGAGTTCAGCTAGTAGATTGGAGTTAGAAAACACTCACTTTTTTGTAACATGAGTGAGTTTTCCGTTAATTAAATTTATGTCACAATTTTACACGTGTTTTTTTACGATGATTTATTGGTTAAAAAAAAATTTTTTTGAGTTGACTCAGAGAAAATTGTCGAAAACTAATGCCTTGGTTTTATCACTCGGATGAAGTTAGAAAGTGAGTATTTCTGATTAGTAATTTTTTATAATAGTTAATTAGGTGCTAGTTTTTCAACTTTTTTTTTCACAGCATTTTTTTCGATAAAAAAGATTGTAATAATTTTTACTATGAATGATTGATTACAAATTTTTATTTTAAAATTTTACGAATATTAAAAATAATATTTTTAATAAAAAAACAATGTTTCCCTCTTTTATATCACTATAAAAAGTTAAATTGTGAGGAAATTTTGATAAAGCTAAAATTTTACAACCTAATGTTAATTGAATATATGTCAGTTTATTTTAGGATTAGATAATTTTTTTCAAGATCAATCTTAAGATATAAAAACAATATTTTTTTTTTTTGATACGTATTATTAAAAAATAATTAAAAATTAGATTTGTTAAAAAAAAAATATTTTAAAATTAGAAAAAAAAATGGTAATCAAAAAATTTGTTTAATTGTAGTAATAAAATATTTTATTTTGAAAATTGGAATCATTGTTCGGTTTTTTTTTATTTGTTTGTAAATAAGTGTATTTTTGTAATTTTGGTTGTTAAAACATAAATTAAGACTGATTAATATGAATGTATATTTACAATCGTTAATTCTGAATATTTTGGAATTCAAATATTGATTATAAAATTGTCTTAATTTTAAATAATACATACTGTATAATAAAATTCTTCTTTATTGAAAGGTTTTTTTCAGTTGATATTTCTACTACGATAATTCTGAAGCTAAAAATGATAATTGCTCACGTAAATCCTTCTCCTAATAGAACTTCCAGATCGTCTTTCTCAACATTTTTATTATCTTCCTTTCTAGACAATCTTAGATCTGTGATATATGAGCGTGTATTTTCATTATTGTGTTGGTTATGTAAAATATTGCCACTGTGAAGGTCTGTATGAATATATCCTGCATCATGAATATTATATAAATCTTCAGAAATATTTAGAAGTAGATCTGCAAGGTAAGTTCTCGAAAGTTTGTGCTTAAATACTTATGAAGATTTCCATTTGAGTTATTCCATATATTGCAAGTTTATTATCTAATAAATTGCATTTCATATGATTGTTAATCTTGATAAATTTTAATGCATTTAATAAATTGTAGATAAAAATGATTTAATCTAAAGTTTTGCAAGTGCCGTACATAGGCACTAGTACCTGTTCAGCACTTGTAGAACCTCTCACTTACTTCTTTCAAAAAATCGAGAGGGTTTTCATTTATACTTATGAACTAGAATAAAAAGATTTTTTAATAAGTAAATATTTATAAATATGAATTGCAGATTTTAAATACATAGATTAATAAATAATATTTATACTCACGAACTAGAATAAAAAGATTATTTAATTAATTACTAAATTTTAAGTAACTTGATAATTAATCATAATATAAAACTGTTCATTCGAGGATAGGTAGTCACAAACTATCACAAATTTGTAATTGAAATTGTAACTTACTTTTTTCAAGAAATCAAAATTATTTTTCTTAATATCGATCAAGGTCTTGAGCGTGACTATGCTATTTGTTTCACGTGCTTTTTTATTTTTATTGATTAATTAAGTTGTAATATAAGTTAAATTCATCTTTAACAATTTCGTTATTATCCTTCGTATTGCTCAGCTATTTATAAAAAATTAATTAATAAATAAATATCAATCAAATTATCATCTATATAAAAAAAAATAGAACAATAGAATGTTAATCAGAATTATAAAATTAATCGATAAGAAAATTGATTGACTAATTGAATACATATAATTTTTGTTGTTGTTGTATTTGGTTAATCAATTTTGGTGTAACAAAAAAATAGTCAATCGATATATCCTTTTTTTTTGTTTTTTTGTTTATTTTTTTTCACTGATATTTTCCTCTTTTTTTTAGTATAGAATTTTTTTTAGCATAGTTTTTTTTAATAAACTTTTTTTAATGTAGTTTTTTTTGTTTCTTTTTTCTTGGGCTATATGTTGTGTGATAGCTGTTGTCGTGAACAACAAGAGTTGTGTCTTGTTGGCATAACATATAGTTAGAATTTGAAGGCTACATCAATTTAAGACAGTGTAGAAAGAAGTACAGTTAGGTAAACTCACAAGCACTGGTCTATACGAATGCTATAGTAATCCATCTTCAACATGAGTCCAACTAGTTTTTTTCCTAGTAAAGGTCTTTAGGATATTGCACAAAATCCTTTGAGTTCAATTAATTTTGAATGGGCTCCCCAGAGATTGCAGACTTTGAATTCTTTTTTCCTTTGTTTTTTTTTATTTTTTTTTTTATTTTTGCAGTTTTTTTATTTATTTATTGAATAAAACAAAAAGATATTAAGTTCATCATATGATGTTACTAAAATGACTAGCATTCTTAGTCAACTTGAATTTTATTGATTGTCAAAAATCTGTAGATATGAATAATTCAGATGGCTTGGTTACTGTTATGAATATGGAATTGGAGTTGAAAAAGATGAAAATCAAGCGTTCATTCATTATAAAAATCTACAGATATGAATAATTCTAAAAGAACGTATCGAGTTGGCTATTGTTATTATTCGAAATAGATAAGCATAAAGCATTTATATATTATCTGAAGCAGGTAATTCTAATCGAATTTTTAAAATGCTATTTGTTACGAATATGGAATTAGCATGGAATACAATTGGGATAAATATTACAATTGGATAAAGAAGTAGATTTTTAGAGAGTAAGTTTTATGATTAATTATCAAGTTACTTAACATTTAGCAATTCATTAAATATTCTTTTATTCTAACAAGTAAGTATAAAGATCATTTGTTAATTTATGTATTTAAAATCTGTAATTTATGTTTATAAATATTTATCCATTAAATAACCTTTTTTATTCGTATTAATTATAGAAAATGTGAATATTGTAATGAAAATAACATGAATAATGTATGGTGTAATACATGTGCTCCCGACAATACAATTCAAAGATGGACAAGTAGAAATAAGGATATTAATAACTATTTGAAAGACTTTCAACTTAGAGCTAATTCGTATGAGAAAGTGATTGAATAGATTCTTTTTGATAAACTAAATAATATTGAAAATATTAGTAAGGGAGGATTTGATTCTATATTTTTAGCGTTCTAGTTGGATGATATACGAAAAATTGATAGTAATAGAAGAGTATGAAAACCCTCTTGATTTTTTGAAAGAAGTAAGTAGAAGGTTTTATTTATAGCTTTGGAGTTATCGTATCAGAGATATCAACTAGGTAAAGACTTTTTGATAGTTGTAAATTTGATATTAGTCTTGCAATAAAGATTTGCAAAAGACTGCATCTGGAATTTGCTTTTTGAACATTTAACTGCTATATTAAATTTGCTAAACAATGTATGGATTCAGGTTCACAAAAAAACAGCCTAGTAGTTATAATGTTAGTAACAATACATTCGTCTTTATTACTTGTTATTAATAGATAAAAAAAAATAATTTTAATATTAAAAAATAAATTAAAGTTAAATTTTAAACAAAAATTCGATAAATAATAATATTTTTTTATTTAAATTAAAATACGAAAATAAAATCATAAATTAAGTTTCTAAGAAAATTTCTTGTTATCGATGATTTTTGAAGATAATTCAGATTTGATAAAGTTTTGTTATTGTATCTATATTAAGAAAGATGAACATTGTATACAACTTTAAATTAATACGTATAAAAAAAAATAAAAAATTTGAGTTTTGATTTTTGAAAATAACTAGAAATTACTTCTAAAGTAAAGTATGTTTAATTAATTATATTTTATATTGTTGAAAAGTTTTTAATTTTTTTTTTATTAGATGTCAATTATTAGTGAACAAACTATTAAAGTAAACGAAGAAGGATTTTTAATTTCGATTAAAACATATAATGAATTTGAACATAGAGTTTTTATTAAACGAAATAATGTTGAAAGAATTAATATTCCTAAAGATTTACGAATTTTACATAATCAAAAAAAAATTGATCCAGAAACTTTTGAAGATGAAAGACGTGGATTTAAAATTTTAAAAAAAGATTTTGAAGATAAGAAATATATGATAAAATTTAAAAATAGTAGTCTAAGTTTAGGTTCAGGTGGTTATTTTAGTGAAAAAATAGATTATTAATTATGTAAAAAAATCTTCTGTGATAAAATTATCATAAATATATCTAATGTTATTATTTTTGTTTTTTAAATATTTTATAATTAAAAGTTTTTGAAATATTTCAATATTAATAAAACAGTATTTTTCTTTGTATACATAAGAAAGATAATAAAAATCCTCGTAGTTTTTTTCTAATTCCAATACTAAATTATAAATATTCTAATTTTATCATTATCTATAATAATTTTTTTGTTTGTAATTATATTTTCAACATATACTATTTTATATTTTTTTTTTAAATTGTATATAAATTTTCTATAAATATTATAAATTGATTTAGAAATTACAAATTTACTAATATTTGTTCTATGATAATAAATATCATCAGTAGAAGTATAATATTTTTATCTTTTCTGATATTTTCATAAATATCAACATCTAATATTGCTTTGAAAGCATTATATCTTTGAATAGTTATTAGATATAAAAGTTATTTGCAATTAAATAATATTTGTATTTTCTATAATTTTTTTTGATTATTTTAAAAGGTTTTAATTTTTTTATTATATATTATGAAATAATTTATTTACTAAAATTATTTTTTTTATGAAACAGAATTTCATTTATAAAACATAATTCGATAATAATATTCAAAATTTCAATTAGTAATATCATTTTTTTTCTTGATTTTAGTTAAAGAATTAATTATTTATATAATTTTTTTTGAGTAAAATTTCTCAAGTACTTGAACATTATCTGTTTATCTGAGTAAAATTGTTCAAGTATCTAAGTATTATCTAAGCAAAATTGCTCAATTGAAAAAATATCTAAGCAAAATTGTTCAATTAATTGAGCAAAATTGCTTAATCAAAAAAACAACTAAGCAAAATTGTTCAATTAATTGAGCAAAATTGCTCAATCAAAAAAATAACTAAGAAAATAACTTAAAATTAGATAGTAAAATTGTTTAAATAATTAAAGATAAAAGTATTTATATTAAAACTAGAAGATATATAATTTAATATAAATAATTATACTTTACTTTTTTTATTTATAAAAAAAAATTAAAATGTTCTCTAATAAAGTTTTTTCTCTTATTCTTAAAAATTATAATTTTGAAAATTTTCAAGAAATAAAAAAAATAGCATTAATTTGTAAA